ACATCAGATGTAAATGAAGACAATCTGACAATATTTCGAAGGCCTAGCCAGATTACTTCGTCACAGATCCTCCAAACGTTCAAGATGATCATTTGAGGCGTACATTTTGTCTTGGGAAAGTTGATTAAGAAGCAGTTACGTTACACCAGAGAAATCCATGTTTCTTAATACAAAATCCACATTTCATTAACAGTAAAAGCACGATCAATCCCAAAGACATTTTGAGAAAAGCTACAAAAGCTGCAAAAGTCAAACAGTGTAAGTTGCTGATCATGAATCAAATCAAATCGTGGGGACCTAATTCTTCTTTTTAATTTACTTTGCTGTTTTTGCTAGATATCTTCCTGCTATTCTATCTGCCCACCTGCATGAGCGTATGTGTTAAATAGTAAGATATGTATCAGGAAAAAGTCATTATTTGATACACAATAGCAAATTATTTGAGCTAACGACGCACGATTCCCCTTCATGAAGTTGACTCCAGCTCCCAAGTATTATTGATACTGCAGGTGGCTTTGAGCGAATAATGGCTGCGTTTGAATTCATGGGACAAAATGATAGGAAAATCGTGTTTATTCATATTTACTTTGATATCCTATAACAAACAAGCAATTTTAATAAAAAAAAAAAACAAACTTCGAGTAACTGAATTTAAATATTGTACAGATGCGTGGATAAATAGAAGGAAACAACATAAAAAAGCGATCTCACTAATAGAACGCAAAACAACCATTTATTTTGTCCAAACTAATAAATTTAAATCTATGGACAGCCGCTTATCACGAAGACCAGGTTAACACATTTTCTTATAATAAATGAATTCATTTTCTGCACCTGTAATGATAAAGTTAACCCAATTAACCCAATGGACTATTTTCAATTTGAAAGTATCATGTTCTTGAATATAGCGATTGCTTAATTTTTCCATATTTCATTTCTTCTGAAAGGCAATGGTGCAATTTGTGAGTTTCTCTGTTTCAGTAGTTCTGGAAAAGTGTTATTTTAGAACTCAACTGAAAGGTACACTCGATTCTTTTGGTTAAAACTGTCAGCAGTATAATTCTGAATTTGAAATTCAATAAAATTAACATTTCTAATATTTTTCTATGAAATTATAACCTGATAAAGATAGCTGATACCATAAGAAAGGCATAAGTTAAAACAAGACATAACTGAGAGTAAATAAAATCGTGTTTCTACATCTGCCCTCAATTATTTTTAATTATTTAATTAAAAGATCCGAATTTTAAAAAAATCAATAATTAACGACATATTCTCATGGTGGTGTCGTCTTACATATTTATAAATATTTTAACACCTCATCCAATCACGTCCTGAAAACAAAATAACATAAAATTATACAGGATGGGAATATAACTAATAATATTTTTCAAGCATCATTTGAACCTATTCCCATAATGCACAAAAAAAATCGTGTAAATTTATCTTGTAATATGTCTGCTATTTCCGTGTTGTTATTAAAGAGTTCTTGTATTTTACAATATTTGTAGTCAATGAAAAATTCATTAAATTTGGTTAAGTGTTTTTCAACATTTTTTCATATAAACAGTGTTTACTTCGTTAATATTTGATATTAAAATGAACATGAAAATCAATAAATTGTCTTTCCTCTTTAAACAATAATGCCAACAAACCTTTGGTAAAAATATCTAAATATTTAACCAGACTCTGAAGAAATTGTAAATTTAGAAAAGGCTATAAAGAGAGGATTTAATATACATTTGTTTAGTGGAAAGAATCCCCAGAAACATCGGCTTAGCAAATACTGGATCTTCCAAAGTATACCTTATTTGATATGGGTTTATGTGGATATGAAAGTTTTTGTTATTGTGGCTGGACTTATAATGTGTAGATGAATGCTGTAAAAACTATCCAAAAATGGCAAAGCAATAAGTGAAATGGAATGGCAAATGTTCTTTTTCATGGAACATAAAAGAAGTAAAATATATTGTTTTACAATGGTAACAAAATTCACCCCCTCGAATTAAACACAAAACATTTCGCTGAGAAACCGCCAACTGACTATTTGGAATGAAATAGTTGCAGTCATAATTTTTTGTCAATATTTATTTGTGGGGATCGCCCGATATACAAAACAACGATAATAGGAACATCAGAGTAATTTAAAGGAAAATATTCTTAGTTTTGAACATTATTAGAAACTGGATGATATATATCGACTTATGTAATGGGCTATGCAACATGCCCATTTGATAGACAGTGACAGACAAAACAAATCGTTATTTCTCATGTTTTCTTTTAAACATACAAACAATTAAAGTAATTTCTTTTGATTTTTGAAAATTAGTTTTAATATCAGGATAGAATTTTATTATTACTAAACCTAAGTTTGTCTTTGTATATTTGGTCACGATGACCCAACAACCAAGTCCAAGAGATCACACCATTTTCTGTAAATAATCACAGTACGTCAATTAATAAAATTTTTTGTGAAATGGACTGAGATACTTAGATTGTTATGAAGATTTATAACACATAAAATCCTGACATGGCATTCATTCAAATCCCTATTTCTAACCAAATGAAACAATCCTTAGCAAAATGGCCTAAGTTGTGTTTTGCATGAAATATAAATATAATTTAACCTAAAAAAACAATGTGAACAAAAAAAAAAAACAAAGTTCATTCGGCTTCCACAGTAACAGGCGGTTATTGAAGTAGAATTAGTTCGTAGCCTTTCCGTTTTGTATTGCATGTATGTAATTACGTTCTTGAAGGTAGACTGGTTCGTGGTGGTAAGTTAAGCAGAAAAAGAATATCAGATAAATGGAAATTGTTAAATATAGTTTTTCAGCTGAGCAAAAGAAAATAAAGTGTGCTGACAGATTCATTTTTCTGTCACACTTGTAAAACACTGTACAACTCTGAAAAATGTTTTCAAACACAGATTCTAAAACGTGCAAGCTATGGAAATATCACTGGTTATGGGAACAAAACGGTATTGTCCCAATGAATGATGAAATCCATGAAGAAACTCAAAACTGTTTCAACAAATTCCTGGGGAACTGATACAGTTTAGGGCAAATTGAAGGTTTTTTCAGAAAACAAGCGAGTTCCTCATTTTTACGCATTAACTTTCTGATCCTACCCTAGATGCTTCAACGAAAAACTGGGATATTCAGCATATTTCTCAGAAATGTTGATGCTTGAAAAAGGTACAATGAAAATCACCTGCCTGTGAAGCAACTTCTCTCGCGTGTCACTGGGGCAACTATTCTTATCTGGAGTATGTAAGAAAGAGACAATATTTATTCCTTGCCCTTTAAATTCAAGCGTATTGAATTCGCAGGGGTATTCGCCATTGTCCTAGCCATCAACAATTCGCAAGAATTGTCTCACAGGTTGTTGGTCATAACCCGATTTTCACAAGTCATGTATTGGTTGTCCAAGCTTTGAATCTTAAGAAAGCACTTTCATTCAGCCACCAGTAGGCGATACATTAATATTGTGTATACAGACGTTTTGCCAAGTTTTGTATCTCATCATCTCTTTATATTTTGCTAACAAAATTTAATAAATTTATTTTTCAATAGAAATGTATCAAATGTTGAAAATAAACGTTTTTGTTATGTTCTCTAAAAAAAAAGAAATATATTAAGGAATGTATTTTCGCTGTGTTATAGTTGAATTAATTTTCAAGGGCAGGGCCTGTTATTTCTGTTTGGTTGCATGTTTTTTCTTTCAATGTTTATTATTTGTAGAATTTTATGATTCAAATTCATTTATCTTAAAATAAACCTGGAATAATTAAGTTACATAATAACAGTGTGTATATTGAAATCAAATTTGCATGCAGCTATTGATGTGTTACTAAAAGGGCGGTTTTAATAGTACTACTGTTTATCGTAATACTTCATAAAATGCATAACAAAGGCAGCTTTTGATGTTTTCATGAAAACATAGATCAAAGATCGTTATTAGTTTAGACAGGAAGATATCTAGATAGATAGATAGAGAAAAGCCCAATATTAAAAATGTTTGAAAATGAAAAAAAAATATGTCAATTCCACAGAATGGAACGTGGTCAAAATTTCGGTAAATATTCTTGACAATTTGTTCGACACTAGGGTAAATTTTCAGATATAATAAGAGATAATAGGGGATAATAAGAGATAATAGGGGATAATAAGAGATAATAGGGGATAGATAGGAACAAAAATGTCTATTAAAAATTGTAGCGTCCAAGTTAGAGAATAAAACATAAATTAACAAAATTATTAATATTCATACAAACATTAATAAATCATTAATAAAACATTTAGGAATTGATAAAGATGAGACATGTACAGGCTACAATTTTTACTTCTTTCTCAACATGTACAAGGGCTGCTCTGATGTGTCACATTTTTCAGGCCGGATTTCCTCTTATTTTTCCTGCACGTTCTGACAGGAATCACTGCCATAAGTTTATTTCTCCAGACATTATCGCCTATGATCTTCCAAAGATTCTCAATTGGACTGAGATCTCTACCTTGAGACGGCCATGTCATAATTACGACGTTTTCAACTACAAATAATTGCTTTACTATATCTACAATATGACAAAGGAGGTACAATCTTAGACAAAGATGGGACCAATGACAAGAAGTTTGAAACGTGTTGTTCAATAATATTCTTATACGTATCCTGTAATGAGATGGACAACACCATGGTCAGAATACATCACTGAAATAATAAGCTACATTGATTGATTGATGCATTTTTTCTTACAGCATTTGCAGGTTATTTAAAGCCAGAAAATATTTTTAGGAATTATGAATGTTTTTTCAGACAATAACGATTTACTGATACAAGCCTTGATAATTAAATCATAGCTGACAGGAGAAGAGTTGAATTCATATCTTCTCCCAAAGATATTTGCACATAAGTGAATAGAACGAAACCGTCTAGAATTGGAACTCGGCTCTCCAATTTTCAATTCCGAGTCGGTATCTATTACACTACCTGCACATCCAAGTTTACAGTACCTGGTGTTCTCAAGCGGACACCCATCTAAGTACTGACCAGGTTTGACGTTGTTTAACTTGAGTGATCGTACGAAAACCGGTGTTTCAACGTGATATGGCCACAATCTTCTAGAATCTCCGAATTTAACTGACTTTTTCACACATTCTAGAAGATATCGCCTACCTTTACACCCTCAAATATACTGCTTACCGACAGATTCAAGAAAACTTCCATTCATCATGGAAAAACGTTCTTGGGTAATTTTTATTAATCCAGAATTCGTTTTCAGAATCTTGTCAACCCATTCATTTTTTTATGAGAGGGTTGATGCTAGAGGAACGCGCATTCAGCCCTTCTTGGCATAAACGACGCAACACTGTATGCTAAACTTTCATGCTAAATTCTTCGGTTACTTGATGTGCAATACCACGACTATAGCAGAACGATCAACCATGGTAGATTTTAATAGTCTGGAAAAAACAGTTATGCTTGAAAGAATGCTTCATAGATTTTAATATAAACAGGAAATTTTGATTATAAAGAAAGAAAGGTCTACTGAACTTTTATGTAATATCAGTCCGCCTTTAGGGCAGTCAATGCTGGAAAATCTTCTCACAGAGTAAGAGACGAAGCAACAAAGATGTGGTTTTACAGCAGGATGCTTATATTTTGCATGAGAAAGAGACAGTTTAAAATTTGTAGGGTAAATAAGAAGGAAAGAGGGCCTAGAAAATTTGACATTCGCAAAATATACAGACGGCAAATGTGGGGACAGAGAAAAACCTACTTTGCGAGCTTGCTAATTTGGTTAGCAGAATAGGTTTTAAGAAAGATCGTAAAGCGACAAAGTTTACACCGAGCGACAAAGGGCTAGGAATTGTGAAGAGCCATGGTCGCGAACCTCCTTAAGGGACATGGGATATAAAAGAAGAAGAAGAAGAAGAAGAAGAAGAAGAAGAAGAAGAAGAAGAAGAACAACAACAACAACAACAACAACAACTCGAATTTGAGAGGAATAACTGCCAAAATGTTATGCAACACTAATCACTTGGTATTTGTGGTTGCCCTAGACGGCAGTTATGAAGCAAACTAGTCGTTTGACATCAAAGCTTGACTAGTAGACTAGCATGTGTTATGAACACATGGCCAATATGCCCGGCGGTTCACTTGATATTTTTTGACATGTCATTTAATTAGGTATTATTCTTATTGACTAAACACAGGATAGTGAAAAATTGAAAGGGCCTGTCTCACAAACAAGCTAAACTGAAGATCGAAAGGAAGATCGTGTCGGAAGTTGTCCATCATTGTTCCAATAAAACAAACGATACAATCAAATCGTTATTTATTTCATCAAGTACAGACACTTGGTGGAGCGACCATCTGAGGTGCAGAACAACTGAACACTGCCAACTGAACACCGCCGACTCTACGCCGTGACAACTCAGGATCGAGACAACTCAACAACATAAAAAAAAAACTATTTTATAACAGAATAAAAGTCATTTATTAAGGATTAAAACCTTAATTATGGAATGATTTTACTTTATTAAAAAGAAATTACTTTATCATTTACTGTCTTTACAATAATTGAAAAAATATTCACTACTTATGATTTTAATCATTAATAAATTAGTTTTCTTTGGTTATAAAAAGGTTATGTTTTTCTGGTGCTCAGTTGTCTCGGTCCTGAGTAGTCACGGCGCTCAGTCAGCGGTGTTGAGTTTTCCCTTTAGTCGATGGAATTTCCGCCGGTATTCTATACAGACGATAAATTTTGCCTGGGTACCAGTTCGATTCGCTTGGGCTGTAGATAGATAACGACTCTCTCTCTCTCTCTCTCTCTCTCTCTCTCTCTCTCTCTCTCTCTCTCTCTCTTACTACGATGAAGTTTGATTCAATATGGTAGTATTAGGTTTGTATATTACAGGAATATACTCATGTGTTATGCTCTATTTGCCTCGAGTTTCGTGGCAAATAAAACCTTTTGTTGAGGTCTCAGTAATCGAATTGCTCCATGGAGTGGAGTGGAGTGGAGTGGTGGGCCCGACGCCCAACCTCTGTATTCTGAGGCAGAGTTGGTTTTCGGTTAGTGTCTTCCTTCTTTTCGGCGACTTTTTTCTTCCATCTATACAAGGTTTCCTTCTCCTAAATTGATTTCCAACTCAGTTTACCCTACTATTTAATTCGTAGCTTCGAAAAGAGACAAATTCATATCATCCCCAAAATGTTTATAACGAAATCGATAGAAATTAGAACCTGGTTCGCCGATTTCTTATTCCAAGGTGCTACACATGACGACAGCCGCATATTCAAAAACATTACTCATACAGATTTTAAATTCTAGCCTGAACAGTAGTTTTGACAGCGTAGCAAGACAAAAATACTTTTTAGTCATTGTGACTGCACAACACATGTCAGTTTTACATGAAAAGTAAAATTTAAAAAAGTCCCTATGAAATTATTAAATTTTGCTTTGGGCAAAATCACATTTCCCTGATTAATTTGTTAAAAGCCGCAACTTGATGTATTAAAGTTATATAAAATAAAGTGTTAAGCTATTTCGCTGACAAAAATGACATCTGTTATGTGAAAAACTGAAATATTGTGAATGTTTTTTTGTTTTGTTTTTTTTTATTAAAATAGAACCAAGAATGCTGGTTTTTGATAAATTTATTAGAATAAAATTTAATATTCTTTTTCTGTACATATCAGAAAGTAATTAGTGTTTAATACCTACGAACTGTTAATACAGTTTTCAGCATTATTATATGTTTTTCTCTAAAACAATTTCAAATTTAGCTTAATACTTTTTCAATGTAGAATCATAGGAAGATAAGCATTAACAATTATGAATATTACCAAATGGAATGGAGTAGAACAATGCATATATTCGAAAATTCTTAATTTCTTGGATTTCATATAAAACGATGTCGGCTTCATAAGACTATTTTCACCATTAAACACTAATAAACATACGTTTGGGTTTATAAACAGATTCCTGTATGTGGTGATTTTTTTAATTCACTCACACACAAGCAGTTCTTCAAAATATCATTATCATCATCATTATCAGTTGTGATGTTTAGCGAGTGTACATATGTACAGGACGAAGCATTGGTGCTAAACCATAAATTCAGCAGAATATCGTTGTCAGATGCCCGTACAACTACATAAACATACACAGAGTACACACATAAACGAATATAGATATAATGATATAATTACGTGTATGCCTTTTCATGTTAGTTTCATTTGCGTGTATATATATATATATATATATATATATATATATATATATATATATAAAATCAGAAGATCAGTTGAATCCGCTATGTAGGTTTCAACCTTACGGTCCCCTCATGTCTTAATGATACTTTAAGGTTGAAACCAAGGTAGCGATATTCAACTGATCTCCTTATTTTTAATGTTAAAAGGTCTACATGTTATTTTTCTTTTATTGAGTGTATTGAGCACTTTTAATACTACTGTTTCCTGGTTCGATTCAATTCTGACGATTAACCTTACACACACACGCGCGTGCGCGCACACACACACACATGTGTGTGTGTGTGTGTGTGTTTGTGTGTGTGTGTTAGAGTAATTCTTATACTGATAAAAGAATATGAAAATAAAGGCAAAATCCCTCATAAAGTACACTTCATTGAGGTAAATATTTCATTATATGAAATTCTAGCAGGTTTCAACCGTTTGCTATGGCTTCGCAATATAAGTAGTGAATATTCACTACTTGAAATACTCGAAACAAAAATTTTATATAAACATTTCATTCATAAATTGACATTTTATAGTTAAAGAAAGTTTTACAAATAAATGTCAACTTATCAAAGGCAAAGTAAAATGCAAATTTCAAACATTTTTCTGCACTATATAAGACAATATTCCTAAACAAGTATTTTTGATATGAACGTGAAATCAAACCTCGAATAAAAGAATAATAACGAAAAAGTGTTAATTAATGAAATAAACTTTTCTAAACTCAATATGCAAATTAGTTACACCTGAAGAGTGATATTGCCAGGAGTAAATAATAATAGATAATACAGGTATTGAGCATTTAGCGCGCCTTTTTTAATCTCAGAATTCATGGGAGAATTGAGCTCCAATTTCGCATTTATTCATATAGATTCCATAATTCGATAAGTTTTACTGAATTAGCTATTATGTTTCTCTAAATATTCAAATGTTGAATGTATAACTAATTCTAATTTCTATTTTTCCATCTTTACGCTATATTAATGTTATCTTATATACTATCCCCTGTTCTATCACCCATGAAATAAAAATAATTGTTTATACAGAAAATAAATATCTACATATATCAAATCATCTTTAAATTAAGTGGCAGCAGAATTATCGTTGAACTTTTTAAAGGTAATCTTAAACATTAATTCAATACTTAAATGCAGTGATCAATTTTGAGTTCCTCTGTATTTTATTGAAGATTATCGCATCTAATCCTCTCTAGCTATTGTGATGATGGCCAAAACTAGAGTCCTCCACAAGAGCTAGCTTAAATGCCGTCCGATACGGCGGTTTCTAACCTAGCTTAGAATTTTAAGCTAGCTGCAATTTTAGATACAAAGGGAAAATAAGAGTTACCCAACTTGAACCATGAGTACAACGATAATGGCTAGTATAATATATTAATATTTATTTTTAACCTCGCATAATGTGACAGCCCTTTTGAATGAGCTGTGAATCATCAAAATCAGACCCGTGGGAGCGGAATAGTTGCTTGCGCAAGCACAACCACATGCACTGTACTTTATATATAAGATTTCAAGGGATGGGAGCTGAAGTTGCATAATATGCATCCATATATAACTAAAGCATATATGAAACATAAATTGATAAAAAATTACGTGTAGAATATGTCACAAAGTATATTTATAACGTTCTCCCTGTGTTAGCAATTAGAGTGAAGTTTTTTTTCGGGGGTTTAAGCAATATGGACTTGCCATATGAATTACTATTGTACCAATCCTTGTCTCATTTGCTAGCAACTCACTCTCTCTTTCCTTCTCTCTCTCTCTCTCTCTTTATATATATATATATATATATATATATATATATATATATATATATATAATTATTTATTTA